CCACTGGGGAAGCCTCCCTGCTGAGGTGATGGAAGAAGGGATTGGGTATAACCATCACTTACTCCTTCTCATGGCCTTCCCCCAACTTGGTCTTATGTGAACAGGGATGAAGTGGGTGCAAGTACCTTGAGAGGGATCTCAGTGAGGGTGGAAAGGATCTCACAGGCAGAGGACATCTAATTAGACCTGCAAGCCTGACGGGGACTAGGTTGGCACAACAGATGCACTGAAGAGACTCCTCCGTGAGACTCATTTGAGCCTGACTCGTCCTGTGCATTTGGCCTGTAGTCTCTAGACAAGATACTTCATGATGAGCATTTTCATCTGATGCCCTTGCAGTTTTAACCAGGGCTCCCTTTGACCAGGCAACAAAACACTATAGCATCTCCCAAAGAACTGAGCAGACTCTGCATGACAGCAGACTTTATATCTTCTCCTTTCTTTCCCTTCTTCAGGGTTAATCGTAAAGGAAGTAAGCTCATCTACGTCCAGCTCTTCGGAAACAGTGGTCAAACTTCGTGGCCAGAGCACCGACTCGCTACCACAGGTATTTTGCGCTTGGAGGGTGAAGCCCTTAATAGGTCTCCCTTTGACAAGGGCAAGGCATCCAGCACTCGGGGTATGGGCAGGGGTAGGGAGGGCCCATCCAGTGCTCTGCTCTGACTTCCAGTATCGCAGCTCTGAGTTTTGGCAAATTTAAGTTTTTGGGTGAAAAAACAAACAAAAAAAACGTATTGGCTTTTCTGGGGAGCTGGGAAACACTGGCAGCGCTCTGTTTCCCATCAGTCAGAAAGCCGTCACGTTGGAAAGCTTACCCCTATCGTGGCTGGTCTGAGCGAAGTGCACTGGGTGGAGGGAAAAAACCCGCCAGGCCTTGATTTGTAGATGTTTGTCCAAAGCATCCCTCCCAGGGGCAGCCACACTGGTAGTTACTGTGCCTGTGAACGGGTTTTTTTCTCCAATGATCTGCAGCAGCCTGGGCTATGGTCATTACCCCAAGTGCCCCCTCCCCTGTCATCGCCCCAACCCTGCTTTCCCCTACAGGGAAGATTCCCCCTGCAGTAACTTCCCAAGTAACGTGATGGACCAAGTAGCATGACAGCGTTAAGACTTTTGTCTCGCCAACTCGCCACGCCTAGTCTGGCTTGTTTGCTGTGCCGAGCAATTTTGCCAAATGTAGTTATCCTCACAGATATCCCATTGCTAGAGATGAGCCAAAGCCAAAGTGCAAGTGCCAAAGTCCCAAGTGCAAACACCCCCAAACCAGCGGTTCTGTGAAATGCAAACCTACCGGTGCATTTGAACTTGGCAGGTGGGTCCTGTCACTACCATGGGGCTGAACAAAGGGGAGTGTGCAACTCTACTGAAGTCAGAGGGAGTTTGGCCATTGTCTTGACCACAGCCACTGACTTTCAGTAGGTGTTAGGCACTGAGTTGCCGTTTTTCCCTTGCTCTCCCGCTCTGTCTCAGGCTGGGTTCACCCTATCTCAGAACATACGGATAACCGGAGAAATCCTTTGTAGGCTGTCATGTGCAAAAGCTTCCCCATGCTGCTCATAGCAAATGCTCTGTCTCTATTGTATGTGGCTTCACAGCTAACCCCTGCCACCACTTGTGTGCCCCTGTCTTTTCTCCAGACCGTGTGTAGAAAGCCAAAGACTTCCACCGACCGACACAGCCTGAGCCTGGACGACATTCGGCTGTACCAAAAAGACTTCTTGCAGCTGGCGAACCTGTGCCAGGACACTGCTCAGAGCTACACCTTCGGGTGCAGCCATGGACTGGAGGAAGAGGGTCTTTACTGCAACGGCTGCTTGGCTCAGCAGTGCATCAACATCCAAGAAACCTTCCCGGTCAAGAGAGCAAGCAAATACTTCTCCCTGGATCTCTCCCACGACGAAGTTCCCGAATTCGTTGTCTAAGCGCCATAGCTCTGTCAGGGCAGGACTGGCTGCCTGCGCGATCAGAAAGACTGGAAATCTATGGCTATTTCCTTCAAATATATCTGGTGCCATATTCGTTTTCTTTTCCTGCTCCCTTCCCACTCCCCTAAACACCTCTGTCTTTGCAAATCAAGGCCTTGGAAACCATTGCACTTTGAGTATGACCCATAGAGCGGTAGGGTAGGGACAGAGGTAGGGTGTCCTGGCAGAGCCCCATCTGGGTTTAAGCGGTGTCTCTTCCCTGTTTTTTCTTTGGAAATAGTTTGTGCGAAACACTGATTGTCTTACGCCAGAGAAGCACAACGTAGTTCAGTTGTTGAATCAAGTCCGAGACAACCTTTACGTTTTTTATTACTGCCTCGTGAATGCTTTAATTTTTTTGGTGGGTTTTTTTCCCTCCACGAAAGCTGCCATTGACGTTTGCAAAAAGCCATTGCAGCCTCTTCATGGCTTCGGCAACCTTGAGTTTAGAAGCTGAAAAGAAAAAGACTCTGTGTTGTGTTCTGTCAAGCCAAAGAATTGCAAATACCCTAAATGCCGGTATCGAGACGGCAAGAATTAAGCAATAACTAGACAGGAAACTCTATGCACGTTTCTGATTTCTTGGGAAATGACAAGTTGAGTTGCAGTTGACCTTGTGCGATCTCAGTTCTTCCAGAGACTTACTGTGGCATCTAGTCCAAACAGAGCCTTTGCGCAATGTCTTCTAAAGTTTACAAAAATCAGACGGATGTTATCTGGGAACTCTGAAAGCTTTCCTAAGCTGCTTGTGTTTCAAAGGAAAATGAAAAATAACTGAGGATTTCTAATGATGTAGCAATAATGTTCACTGACCAAAGTACCTTAAATATATATATATATATAATATACATATATAATATACATATATATATATCTGTATATAATATACATATATATATCTGTATATATAAATATATAAAAGTGTATGTTTATATATGTTTGGATCTTATAGACCCATTTTGGTTGTGTTTCTGTTCTTAAACACCTTTTATGCAACGAGTACACCTTCTTGCTTTAACGATACTTATAGACAATCATTTTTTTTTTTTGATTCCCTAAACGCTATAATTTTGGAAGGTGAAAAAGTAGGCTTTCCCGTTGAGAATAATATGTAAGCAACTGCATCGTAAGCATGACTGTTTGCGGTTAGTGTCGCTTCAGCATTATTTTAAACAAGGCTTTTCATGCATCTTTCAGTATTTTACAGTTGGAATCGCTCTGGTTCGTGGATGCTAATGATGTTCTCAGAGCAATGCCATAGGGACAGCTTTTGAGCTGGAGCATCTGAAGGAAACTAAAGTGCACATAAACATGTACAGTGATCTATTATCATCAGCAACGACGGCGTAAAGCATTACAGCTGCTAATGTTCACAGCACAATGCCTTTTTTTGTTTGTTTAAAAAAAAAAAAGAACCAACTATTTTTAATGAGGAGGTTAGTATTTTACAGCTATAGTCTACCATATTTTGATATACCATCTTTTTTTAACTGGAAACTTTTTCTAAAAAAAACCCAACAAAGCTATTTTATAAAGAAGCGTGCTGATATTTTTGTAAGAAACACAGGTGGGTTTTCGGTAACGAACGGGACTTTAGATTTTAGTTACAGGGCGGCATAATCAGCGTTACTGCTGCGTGGGAGGCAGTATTACAGAGAGCGAAGGGGGAACCCTGCAAAATTTCCAGCAGCCTTGCAGCTGCTTATATCGGAGGTAAAGGGCTAGTTTTATAGGCCCCAGTGGCTTTGCATCACTGACCTGCATTGCTAAAGCGCTATAAAGAATCCACTACATAATAGTGAGTCTTACCCATTATGTCTGTGATACCACTGGGTATTGTGTTAGCCAGATGCTGCCATGGTACCAGCTTGCTAGAGCAGGGAGGCATGTTAAATCACTATTCAGAAAACTATCCCTTGCTGGTAGATGGTGACTTCTCCAGGGCGGCCCAAAGCCCGTTGCACTGTGCAGCATGTTCCCCTGCTATCCTCTGGCTAAAATTTGGCAGGGTAAGCCCTGATTAGCTGTGGAGTACGGCTGCCCTCCCGACCCTCCTCAGAAAGCATCTTGCCTAGCCTGAGCGGCTTGCAATGGAAAGAGCTGCACCGCAGCAGCGAGCAGGGCTCCCTTCAGTGCTTGTGCATAGAGCCTTAAAAATCCAACTTCTCAGCAGGGCAGTTCCCCCAGTGCAATGAGGACCACCGCGGTCCTGCTGTGCCTCCCACAAAACAGATGGCATTGTCCAGTTCTAGGATTGCACCTCGAGAGACGCCCAGAAATATATACACGGAGGTGTATGATAGATAGATACACGGTATTTATATGTATAATATATAGAGAGATGCAGCGTGCATCCGCACATCTGTAATATATGTCATGCACTCATTGCGGTTGTTGGGACGAACTGGGCAGCGATGGACAGGGAAGGCGAAACGGTTCTGAATTTGCAGGGTCAGGTTGGTTGTTTCAATTTTTTCTTGCCAGGGGAGTCGAGGCGCCAGCTTCCCTGTGGTTGAAAGGATTGTACGGCCTCCTGCTGCCGGGGTCGCTGTGTTCCCCTCTGCGGGCACGCAGCCTCAAAGCTTTCCCTCATCTGCTCGCGTTTTGGGCTCAGCAAACCAGTCACTCTTTGGATGGCATGTGCTAGATGTTGCTATAACCATGGCCAAAGCAAAAGTTGTGCGGTGCCTGTATGATTTGAAAGACTCCGGTTCTGTTCTTGTTATTTATTGTGTTAAGATACCAGGGGAAGGGTGTAATTAAGGGGTGTATCGTGTCACTAATGCTTTCTGTTGTTGAGAAGCAGGCTCCTTGGGATTTTAATTGTGCACCCAGCCCATGGGAGACAGACCTAAAGAATGGCTGTGGTTCAGCCCAGGGCCTCTTCTCCCATCTGAAATGATTCATAATTTCAGGGAGAGGGCGGTGATTTTGCCCAAGCCATGTTCTAATTGGATTGACAAGTAACGAGATGGCGTTAATAAAATGACCCAAACCAGGACACATCCTTGCCCTTTTTGATGACGCACGTTGCTGCAAGTACCAATCTCTGCAACTGGCATGACATCAGATGAAAAGGCAACGTCCTGCTTTCTCCACGTTGTACCAGAAAGCTGTAAGATGTAAAGCTCTTATTTTTTCCACATCTGTTTGGAAATCCTGAGCTGGCCAGCGTTTGGGTTCGGTGTTTTTCTGTCTGGTGACTTCTTTATGTTGATATGTTTGCAATAATCAGCTATAAGCCTGCACAAACTGAATAATCCTTTCTGTGAAAGGATCTTCCTATCAGGATGGTATGAGAGAAAGTGTAAAAAAAAAAAAAGACATGAAACAAGAAAAGACAAAGCAGAATTATTTTGTAATGATGAAGTTTGTTGCTTGCCGTTCACGGCAGAGGTAGAAATGACAATAAAGTTACAGTTGTTTGCGTTGCTGTGAGTCTTGGCAATTAAAAAAAAAAACCCAAACCCTTTGGCTAGGGACAGACATTACACACAAACTGGTTTAAGTGATCAGAAACTGGTTTAAACCTGTAACAGAACAGATGTTCATTGCACAGAAACCAGTTTGAAAATGGCTGAAACCAGTTTGAGATAAACCTGGTTGCAACAGAGATAACCAGTTTGAGATAAACCTGGTGTCGTATCAGACTTAACTGATTTGGGTCAAACTGGTTGATGCAATGTCGGTCCCAGACCTAAATGCTTAACTCCACTGGGGAAGTCTTTGTTGGACGCAAAAATTATACTTCGTTCTAGGACTGAGGATAGCATCGCTGGATGGCTCTGTCCAGTTTGAGTGTGCCACAGTTTAAAAAGATGCTGAAAAACCAGAGCAGGTAGACAAGAGGCATGGAAATGATTTGAGAGCTTATCGTGAGAGCTCCGTGTGTTCAATTTGATGCAAGAGATGACTTTGATGGCAGGTAGCTTCGGGGGACGACTGTACAAGGTACTATAGGGCTTCTTAATCTCGTAGAGAGAGTCCGAACAAGAGCCAGCGGCTGGAGGCCAAAGCCAGATAAGTTCCCATTTAAGAATAAAACATTTTTTTTTTTTTTTTTTAAATAGTGAAAACATCTTACTATCACTGGAACAAACTACCCAGAGAGAGGGGTATGATCTTCACCCCCCCTGTGGTTTCCATAGCAAGAAAAGAAGCCGTCTTGGAAGAGATGCTTTAGTGCAATGCCAATCATTGAGTTCGATAGGGTGGTGCCTGGGTGACACGCCAGGCCTGTGCCATACAGGAGGTTGACTGGGATGCTGCCAGGATCCCTTCTGACCTTCATACCCGACCTCTGTATACCTGGATGGTTACAACCTTGCGTGACATTGAGCTTCCAAGAGCATGTTTCTTCTTCGTTCCTTCAGTACCAGGCTGTCTGCTCTGACGCCCGCAAGGACAACCCCAGCACGGGAGCAGGGTCCGCCAGGATGGCTGAGCCATCCGCTTGGGGTCCCTCAAATGACAGAAGCCAGTGCCGAGGTCTCCGTTGCGTGCTTTATTTAAGGAGCTCTGGCACCACAAATGATGGTTGGGAGGGGAAAAGGATTGCAGGTGAAATACACGGCATGGTTTGGGACCAGGAGAAAAGTCTCCGAAGCAAAGACGTCCTGGTGAAACAGCAGCCGAGAAGGCGCAGAGGTGGTTTGGGAGCATGCCAGGGACCTTTGCTCCCCTAAGCAAAGGTGGATGTTAATGGCTGGACCTGCATCTGCCCATGGGATGTGCATTACTTCTGAGCATGGGATCCTGGTCTGCAAACTGAGAACCAAGGCACCTTCACACCTTTGTGGGCCTGGCACTGTTTATCCTTATCCGAGTCCTGTTTCATTGGACAGCTGGACACCTTTGGGGGTCTGGAGCTAAGTGACTTGCCCCAAGTCACACAAGGGATGTCAGTGGCAGAGCAAAATCCTGCGCTCTGGTCTTCGAAGACCCAGGTAAATACACTCACCACTGGGCAACCCTTTCTCCTGCTCCCCGGCACATACTTCCTCCTGCCAAAAATTTCCCCTGAGGGCAAGATTTAGTTGAGGCCCATACGCAGGGCCGCCCAGCAGGCTGACCACAATGACAGCGTTGATAACCGGTGGCCAGCGCAGGTGCAAAGATACAGTGGGGATTAAAATCCAAGTGAGCCAAGGGGGTCAGACCAGCAACCAAGGGCATCACTGCGCCTTTCAGCTCCCCATGACCGGGTGGGACTTTTCTTCCCAGCAATAACCCACAGGCTCTGTCCCTGAATACCAGAGCACCAGGATTCATAGACGGTGAGGGCTGGAAGGGACCTCGGGAGGTCGCATTGAGTCCAACCCCCTGCTCCAGGCTGGACCAGCCCCAACTAGGTCACCCCAGCCAAGGCTTTGTTGAGCCGGGTTTTAAACACCTCCGAGGATGAAGAGTCCACCACCTCTCTGGGTAACCTGTTCCAGTGTTTCACTACCTTCCTCATGAAAGAGTTTTTCCTTCTATCTAACCTCAACTTTCCTTGCTGCACTGTGTGCCCATTTCTCCTTGTCCTGCCACCACTGGGAGCAGTCCAGCTCCATGGAGGACTCGGGTTTCTGGGCCTGCTCTCATGTCCTCACCCTGCCCGATGCTTAAGACAACCCCAGCGGAGCTGTGCCATCCAGTCCAACCTGGCTGGGTCTGTGTCCTACATCCTCTCTGCGTCGTGCCTCCTGCAAATGGCTCTGCAGCCAGCTGGCCATGCAGCCATTGCAGTTGGGTCAACTGGAGATGGCTGAGCCCAGAGCAAGGCTTTGCTTCTTCCCCTGGCTCTGCAGCAAAGCGTGTTAACCCTTTGCCAGTGCATCCCTCAGGGAAAAGGAGGCAGAGAGGAGCCCGCAGACCCGCCCCACAGCTGGAGGTGCCTGCTCCCCCCAGGAGGGCTTGGCTCTGTGCTTGGCTCCAGCTTATATCACTCAGCCGAGAAAGCTCCTCCGAGTGTTGTGCACTGACAGCGAAACAACAGGCTGAGGATGCTGTGGGCAGAGCTGTGCTCCCAGCCCAGGGATCTCGGCTCCACTCCCTGCACCTGATGGAGAAGCTTTCCAGCTGTGGAGATGAATAAACCTCTTCTTCTCCCTGGACTGGAATTGAGCCAGGTGTTAGGAGGCATGTCCTCCGCTCAGCCTAGGACCAGGGGTGCTCCCAGAGACACGGGCCCTGTGACCTAAGGCAAAGTCATTGCCCAAGCCTTTATGCTTCAAGTTCAGTCAAATCAGTCCTGAGGCTGCTGCGACCATTAGGGCACCTTAGATGCTGTGCATCATTGCTGAGTCTTTGGGCAAAGTGACCTGGCAGCGCCCATGTCCTTTCCAGGTATGCATGGCTGTTGGCTCGCAGGGAGTTCATCCATCCTTTGAAAGGTCTTGTTTTTAGTCCTGCTGGGTGTCCACACACCCTCCTCGCCCAGGCTAGCCCAGGTGGGCGGCGCTGGTTTAGTCACCAACAACCCCCTGCCATGGCAGGGGGTCGGACTAGATGATCTGCTCAGGTCTCTTCCGACCCTAGAAACTATGAAACTATGAAACCCGGCTGTGGAACAGGCTGGTCAACAACGTGTAACATGTACAAGCACCCGCACTTGCTGATCCAGGTAAGGAGAAGCTCCTGTTCAAGTGGAAGTGGTGTTGTAGGTATGATGGATGAGAGGTGAGGGGTTTAGGGTGGTAGCTTTTATTGGACCAACTGTATGGGGGGGAGAGCTCTTGGACAAGCTCTCAGGAGCACCATTGGCAAAGCCATCACCAAAACCCTCTTGCCTCTAGTCATCGCTCACCCTACAATTGACCATTAGGACTCCTTGTATCTTCTTTTGGAGCAGCTGGCGGTAGGCTGCATGAGATAAGGGCCTGGGAAAGATAGACTGTGGGAGCTGTGGTAGTGTTACTATGCCCTCTAACATGCATTCATTTAATGGTGCAATGGGATCAGACCCCCGTCCCAATAAACACACTTCCTGTTGGGCTCAAGTGCATGGCAGGAGGCACGGATTTGGGACCAGAGATCAGATCCCAGTCGCGCCCTACTACTTGCAAGTGCAAGGGAGCCCGGGATCATAATCCCCCAGCCTGGCACATTCACGGCTGGGTGCTGCAGCCCCATGTGGAGTCAGCTGGACAGGCCTGGCTCTGGTTCTAGACCCAGGGCTGTCTGGGACTCCCCTGCACCCCAAAGCCCAGCCAGAGCTGCTGGACATGGGATTTAAAGTCCTCTGGGGGAAAGCCCTTTGGCTCCCTCCCCCACTGCTAGAGCAGCTGATTGTCAGCGCCAGGCACACATTACATTTAAGGCACCATCCAAACTAGCCACAAAAGCGTTCTACAGTATATCCTTTTTATGGCTTGCTTCCCGTTGTATGGCACCTTAAATGGAGCGCCCATGCAGCACCCTTCCCCTAGTATGTGTGCTAACTGTGTCATAAACATAATGCAGGGAGGATCTACGTTTTGAATTAAAGCTATGGGCCTTCCTTACCTCCCTGACCTCTAAAGGCCTAACAATTGCTTTGCTTTCTGCTGTGGTCCTCTACTGCTCCCTATCTCCTGTATATTTTTCTTACCCTCTCCTACACTGTCTTAGTTTGCAGTACAGGTAGCACCTTTGAAGCCTGCTGGATTTGCTGCTGCCAAACTGGGCTCTCTGTCCTCTGTCCCAGGAACACGATGTCACACAAGCAATGATCACAGTGATAAGGCTCTTCGACATGGCTCTTCTTTGACATTGGTGCTGTGCTATGGAGTTTGGGTTTTGCTTTGTTTTTGACATTTACTGAAAATGAGGAAGCTCATGGGACCATGGTCTGAAGCACATGGAAAGTCTATACTTCCCCAGGCTGTTTCTGGCTTTAATCCTGTATGTGCATGAAGTTGGGCCACATGAAGGCAGCGGGGGGGTTTCCTACCACTGAAACCCTGAACTGGTGCATGGGAAAGCGCTGATCTAGAAAAGCAGAATGTGGATGGAGACACTGGTATGTCCAGCTGCTGTGGGAGGACCACTTAGGAGAGAGATTGAAGAGGCAAGGGATGGATGAACCTGTCCGCTTCTTTGCAGGGACTATTAGGAAAAACTTTCCACCTACAAGCAGTGTCACGTTGCTGGAGGATTTTAAGAACAGGCTAGCAGACAGTGTCTGGGCCGGTTTGGGTGCACTGAGCCCTGTCTCAGAGTGGAGAACTGGCCAGCTGACTGCTTGATGTCCCTTCCAGCTGGGCACGTCACCTCTGGCATGAACCTGCACTCTGCCCCCTGACCTGTCCCCCTTGGACCAATGCTAACCATCCCAAACCCCCTCCAGCCAACTTCCAGGGCCACGCTGACTTTGATTCCTACTGAGCCACCCAAAAAGTGAAGCCCCTGGTTAAACAACAGCCCAGTCTGTCCCGCCTTTTTGTTTCTGCACCAACTGGAACTG